TCTCTCCTCTCTCTCTCTCTCTCTCTCTCTCTGAAACACACACACACAGCACCACACATGATGGGAGTACATTGTTTAAAGTAAATTATTTACATAGAGATCACTAACCTTGAAAAGATGATTGTAGTGAATCAAATAACTTGGAAAACACAATATGCAACACCTCCATTGCTTGCTTAGTTATAATTCCTTGACCATAGTGCTGTTGCAGAGCCTGCACAGAGTTCAAAGAGCAAAACAAACTGGTGGAATAAGGGGGGGACAATCATGGATAAATAAAGCTTTTACTGTGCTGTCTCATTCTCGGTTTCTCACAAGAAAAAAACAGGACATGCTAAACTGTATTTACAGCAGTTCATCCAGTGACACAAGATACACTAGAACACAATTTATGTATTCCGAGATCAACATCAGCAAAAATGCTATTTTCTAATTTTGAGAGAAGAAATAAGCACCTCATTGTCCACTTGCAAGGAGCCCCCAAAGATATGTAACCAGAGGAGTGTTTTTAAGATTGTGAGGGAACAGGAACAAGAGCTCCGTATCTCAACTTATGGAATCTGTAAGTCTATAGAGAGATTCAAACCTTTAGGAAGATTTCCAGCTAGTATAATTCAAGGGACTATGGAAAACCATAATCCATGGTGGCATGAGTGATCCATGAAAGACGACAACAGAGAGAGATGTGGGACCATCATTGGGGTCAACTCCTGCTGCCACGGGGGCCCACTCTATCTCCATCACCATTCAAGTCTTCATCGCCCAACATGTGATTGTTATAATCCACTGAGCTGTAGTACAATTCCCTCCCACAAATTGGAATCTATCTACCATGGTTTCCAAGAGGAAAAACCTAAGAGCCTGTTGGGATATGATGATACCTACCCGTGGCCTTCTGAAATCCAAGATTTGAGACCTTTCCTTGATTTGGATTTCATAAAAATCCATAATTCATATCATCAAATATTTCTCCATTTGTGGATTTTGAACAAGAAATCTACACACCAAAATCCACTGTGAAACCTAATAATTTGAAAATCCATGACCATGGATCACACCTATTGAAACCTTTGAAATAAAAAGGCTCAATGGACCCCTCTCCTCCCTCCCTCCTAAATGGATAAGGTAAAAGGGAAATGAAGATAGAGAAAGCTGTAAATAAGTGGAATGGAACAAATAAAAAAAAAGTGAGTTAATTAAGAGCAACAAGATGGTTTTCAGACTTAGCCTACCTTCCACACCAAAGTAACAACATTCATTTGGGTTGTTAAATTATTTTATCTGGGGAGTGGTTTTGAACCATAATGCCAAAGTTTCAGATAAACACTGCCAATTGAGGGCCTGATTTTATGCCTAATTCCCAAGACTCAGGAAACAAAATAATGAACCCAGGCCCGCTTCGAGCCTAAATTTAGAGGAACAATTACTGAATCAAAACATGATTTTTGAGCCAAAAAAGTAATGGGAAGAGGAGCTGTTTGGGATTTGAGAATGTCCAAGAAAATAAATGAGTTTGAAAAAAAATGGATCTTTCTCTGATTTTAATTTTTTCTATTGGTTTCTCTCTCTATGTTTTCTCTCACTAGAATTCTCTTTCTTTGGGTCACTGGTGGGTTTGATACATTAATGAATGCAGGTCATTGATTATGGACTGGTTTCCAAGAAAATTGTTTGATAAAATGCCCAAAAGAGATTTGGTGGACATCAGTTAGATTACCAAGCAGTGGAAATGGTAACTGATTGGAAGAAATCCACGAATTTTAAATTGGTCCCCAAAGACGAGAAAAAGAAATCCAAGTCAGGAACCAATAACTTTCAAACTTAACAGATTTTGAAAATCAAGGAATTTCAGTTTACCTCCTATCTTGCCAGCCCATTATGGAACTTGCGTGAGTATGAACGAGGGGTACAATGGCATATAAAGTGGAGATTAAGGTCGCATTTGGGAGTGGCTAACACAATAAATGCAGCCCCCCATTGCTCGCTATGGATAAAAGAAAAGGGGATGAGATACCTTCCCAAATCCGTTATAAAAGGGGCATGAATTTGAAAGTCCAAAAGAGAATGTCAGGAAATGGTATTTCAAAACTCATAGACTGGCTTAAAATTCACAATGGCTGCCGGTCCATTATGGAACTTGTGTGAATATGACTGAGGTGTATAACGGCATATAAAGTGATGATTAAGGCCACATTTGGGAGAGCGGCTAACACGATAAACAAAGCCTCCCATAGCTCTGCTATGGAAAAACAAAAAGGGGAGGAGATGCCTTTCCAAATCCATTATAAAAGGGGCATAATTTTGAAAGTCCACTAGAGAATGTTTGGCAATGGTAACTCAAAACCCATAGACCGGCTTAAAATCCAATGTCACAGCACTTTATCATATAAAATACCCTTTTCCCAGTGCAGTCTAAATGCAGTCCCAGATGGCAAGTTCCTAACCGGATGAGCTAAAGAGATGACTGGGAAGACTACAAACATAAGGAGGAGGATGCCTCTAATTTTGGATTCCCTTTTCTTTTTCTTTTTCTTTTTTTGGGGCAATTGATGAGGAGGATGCCTCTGATGCTCCTCAAGGAGGCTAAGACCATCACAAGGGATGGTCAGCTAGTCCTAGACAAGCAGCTGATAGGGGTTGACAGGCTCCCAGAAACCAGATTAAGTAAGAATGCCTAATAAAGGAGGAGGGAGATAGGGGAAAGAAGGGAAACGTTGCAGTGGAGCATCGTATACCAAAACACGTGACAAGGTATGATATTATGGTTGTCGGAGGAAAAAAAAAAAGTATAATACTATGGTGATAACTGGAAGTGCAATTCAAACATTTCAGTATCCAGATCAAAATGGAAAAACTAAGAAAAAGAACTATGACAACCTAAAAAGTAAAAAATGTATAAGACATTAATATATTTTCCTAGTGAAAACTGATAATTAAAATATGAAAACTAAATGTATTAAAGAATGCGTGATTTTTCTCTAAGAAAGCTAGATTAAGTATGCCTCTATCCAGGCAACTCATACTTCAAAAGCCTTATGTAGCTCAAAACATACAACAAGAAAACTTCTAGTTGACTTCTAGTTGACATTCAATATTCACATCAACAAAAATAGTCGTTAATAATTATTACAAAACTACCAGAAATTGTCAAATTGAATCCCATATCCAAAAAATTAATAAAATACATTAGAGAAGTAGAAAGTTTAGACTCTCAGGTGAAACACCTCAGATCTTGAATTAGAAGTTATTTCAACCAAAGTTAAGCATTTATGTGCTCCCTCACCCACCTACATCGCCACCAAAGTGCTAAAGCACATACCCCACCCACCCCACCCCACCCCACCCCACCCCACCACCCCCCCACCCCCAAACCCCCCCCTTTTTCTCTTTTTGTGTTTAAAAAGGGTGCAAAAGAGAACAATCGCATAGGTAGAAAAGAGTGCATCCATAGAAAAGAGTCAAAAGACAAACAAATGACAAAGAAAAAAGGATCCTCCAGGAAGCATCATGAACTAATGCATGTGCTGCATAGCATTGAGCAGTCTAAGTCCTGAGAACACACATCTAAGCTTCAAGTGGAAATCATATGTGTTTCGGAACTGGGGTGACTGATCTCTAAAGATTTTTGTATAAAAGCTACAACCCATGTTCAAATACTAATTTCACTTACCTTTCTGATTTCCAAAATAAAAACAAAAAAATCTAAAGATTTGATGCCTTAAATTAGGGTTGGGCTGTTTGGCTACCTTACTATCCATATTGGGCTGCAAGGTCAGATTTTGTTCTTTCAGGAAGTTAGTTCTGTTATAGGTTTCTTGATGGGCACCAGGAAATTCTTGAAATTCCACCTTTTTTACTCACAAACAGTTCACAATTATCAAAAGAACAAACAAGTAACACATTTTAAGTAGTAAGAAAGCTGACATATTCACCTCAATGCCAGTAAAACAGCCCAGTAGTAATTCTGCAGGATAGATCGTGTTGTGGGAAAAATCGAAATGAATCTCTCCTGCTCTTTTTACATTCTGGACAAGAGAAATTAGATCCATCACAAATGCCTGTTCAGCCTTCTGCAATAGAAATGTAAATATATCTGGATTAAGCATCTAAACAAAATTCTTGCTCTCTAATTGAAAAGTGTTTGCCACATGAATCAGACGAAAAGGAGATTTTGTCTACAGAGAATAAGAGGAAGTAAGATAACCGTAAAATGTGTGTGTGTGTTTGTGTGTGTGTGTGTGAGTGAGAGAGAGAGAGAGGAGGAGGAGGAGGACCTCTGACATATGAAGGGTCAGGGAGGCATCGTTAGCCAAAGGAATAATCAGCCTCCCTTTCAATGGTTCATGAGTTCCATGATATGATCCCCCAACTAAATCTGCCTGAAAATTTCCAATCAAAAATAATGGGATGAAAATAGAAAAGGAGGTTATAAAATTAAATAGAAAAAATAACTCCATCTTACAAGACTGTATAATCTCTGCTCAACACAAGCTGCATCACATTCCATGTCTTGATCATCCAATGACACTACAATCACTTCATCATCTGCAAATATATAAATAACAAAAGGTCTAAAGCCATCAATAACTGAAACACTATCGTAGACAACAGAAATAAGTAGGGAATTACGACTAAGGAGAACAGGCAAGGCCAAAATGTCAACTACCCGGGAGTTCAATTTTAGCATCACTAAGCTCAGAGGAGGTCCTGCTGTGGTAAAAAATACCAGTTTGGGCTTTTATGGAATCAATCAGTGGTGACAAATCTGAAATTTGAATACGGTAAATAAATTCAGTCAATTCAAGCATTCAACCGCAATATAACCATATCCACTACACCAGCTTCCATGAATTCAAGAAATTAAGTGTGATAACCTTCAGTTCCTCTGACTTCGAGGGCAAAAACAGCACGTGGCCTATCAAATGGGTTGGGCAGCAGGATCTCATCCACCTGGGAATCAAGTTTATATAAATATATCCATGAGCTGAATTTTCAGGTTACAAAAATCTCTATACATCAGAAATGAAACACTTTGTAAGTATATTCAGATATACCTTGGAAGTTGAGAAGGATTCAAGGGACAGGGATGGCGCATAACCAAGTGATATTGATATAGCAGCAGCAACATCAGAAGATGTCATGAGATTGGTCTGCAACAAAATCCCATGAGTAATCCACAAAGCAAAGTGCCTATCAATAATCCACTTGGAAATCTGAAAATTTAGAACACAAACAAACAATTGCCAAAATGGTCAATGTAATTTCGAGATCTTATCAGGTTTGCAAAAATAAAGATTACCCATCTTGATTGCTAAAACCACTCTAGACATCAAGATCCTAATTGCTGCAGTTGACCGCAAAATTTTCATAATACATTAATATGATAGCACTCAGGAAACAATAAAAAGATCAAAACAGAAAGACTAAATATGAAAACTCCATATATAATTTTCAGTTTACATTAATGTTTATCACATCCACAGTGTGTTAAAGCAATGATTCAAGTCATCGCAGTTTTCTCCAATGTTTTGTTCGAGATGATTTCTCGCCATCACAGATTTTTGTTACTTCTTTTCTATTCATTTGCCTCTTGTATTTTAATAATATAATAACCTTTCTTCAACTAGAATATCAAGTAAGGTTCTTGAAACCAATGTGTACGTGGCACTCTCTGAAGGGCAGGTGACATCAATGAGTTATCACAAGCTCATTTCTGTCAAAATCAAGAGCCCTTAACTTATATGTTGAATAAATATCATGATTTAACTTCTACTGCTTTGCAATAAACATACCATATCGACTTTCTCAAAGGTCCCCATCCCATATTGAAATTCGATAATGCCTCTTCATTATCACTAAGGACAACTCCAGTAAATAATTATCCCCAGAGCGAAATATAGGATCTCACTTCAAGCAAATCAACCATTTCTTGCTTGACTTTATAATACGCTTTCCAATTCCAGCTAGCCTACCAAAAATTAAACAAAAAGTTGTAGGGATAGTGACTTTATGGAGGATTCATTAACACCCAAACCCTAATTGTATAGCAGTTCAAGGCTCAATAAATTCAAGCATGTCCACTGGTCGTTTTAGATTTGACCACTATGGCAAAAAGAGTTAGGGAGACTGGAAATGTGCCCATCTTCAAATATGTCTTCTCTGAATTTGAATGCAAATGGTTAAGTAAAGGACAAATAATTATTACATCTTGGTAGATAAGAAACACCTAGTGTTTTCAAACTCGGCTGAGTCCACTTGGATCCGGAAGGGTAACTCAGCCTCGCCCTATGGCAATATGTAAAAAATATTTAAAAAGTTAGAAACACATTTAGAAATATGTTTTTATATGATTTTGATGGTGTTTAGCATGATTTGGGAACTTTTATCATATGATCCAATTTTAAATTTTTGCCTTCTTTTATTTTTCTGAAATATTCATGGTATATATCAAAGTTTTCAATTATCAATCTTTTATATTTTGTTGTTCATCTTCTACAATCTTTTAATAATTTCTATTACTTCGTTTAGTTTGGCCTATTTTTAACTGTTTTCCGAAATTTTTGACCTTTTCTTTATTTTTTAACCATTTTTCCATGGTGCAATGACACGGGCGAGTCCACTAGACTGGCCCAAGTAACTCACCTTGAGCAAGTGGTGAGTTCCCCGCCTGAGGCGATTCCAAAAACATTGGAAATAACAATCAACAGATTACGCGAGTATAGTTCTCTATTAAAATACAGTCCTCTTACTCTCAGCTATGCATTTGTATTCACAAAGTCATTAGATAAATATGGAATGACAACAGATTAATGCTTTTTTTTATGAGAGAACAGAACCAAGCTCAAACATGAACAAAAAATGAGTAAACAGAAGAGAATCAAACCAAACACGAAATCCTCAAATTGCCGAACAGTTTCAAGTCAAAGGATAAGAATCCATCAAATGAATCATGATTAATTTGACCATGAACTATGCCAATATCAAATATTGAATGGACCAACTTAATTATCAAATATCAAAAAAAAAGAAAAAAATGAAAGAACAATAAAAACCTGGCCCTCGTTATCCAAAGAATCTCTTCTCAAATATGGATGCTTGGGGCTATCTATGAACAAGATTGAACCACTCCCATGTGCCTGCAAATAAAAACCATCAAGATAATACACATAAACCGAACATTTAGTCAATTATCAGATCTGGGTTATGGCCCCAAATGGGCAGCAGCAATTTCAATAGATATTCAAACAAAAAATGCAATTCACAAAATGGGTTCTGCAATTACTTTACCCTAATTGACTAGAGAGATAAAAAGATGGATTTTTTGAGAGAGAAACAGAGAATTACAGAGGGGAAGAAAATGAAAACGTACATAAATTGGTAGAGAGAGAGTGAGTAATGATAGCATTAAGTGTAGCTTGATCCATGTGGAAGAAGCCATTGACGAATCGAGAACAACCTCCCAAGTATTCAGCGGGGAATTGGGGAGGACTTGAATATGTGTCGATGAATATAAGTACCCAACCGGGAAATATGAGAGTGAGGTGCAAGGGTGCAGTTTGTATTGGGCCGAGGCTCTACACAATTAAAGTAAGGCGCACCTTCGAGTGTCGAGAATTGTGGTTTCGATACTGAAAATCTTTGTGAAAACCTTGAATATATTTTTACTTTTAATTACAAAATTTAAAGCTTTGAAAATAGTATAGATAGAGCAAATTTATGAGAGCTTAAAAATCTTGAAAATTGATGGTCAAAAAATGCGCTACAATATGCACTATTTTCAAAACTTGATCAATTTGAGGATATTTGAGAACCAAAACAACCTCTTTTAATAATTTTTTGAGGTGGGCTCTAATTTGATTGTTTAAAGCCTCGACTCTATATAAACCTTTTGTATGATGAGGCCATCGCTCTACCTTTTGTTGATTTAGTATCGGAGACTTTTATAGGGAAAGAACTATTTACCTTTGGTAGAAAGTAGTTACAATTAATCTTGAGCATGGTATGTGAAATTGTGGGGCTGCATTTACTTCATTGACCGAGCTTAAAGTTAAAAAGAAAATTTTTTGATTTCTATGATACACCCAAGCTACCATATTTTATATCGGATAGTTATAAGTAATTGTGACCTCCTTGTATCAAAGGTAAATGATCTCATTGTATACAATCCTATTTTTATAATGATCTGAAAATTTATTTTCATCTTCAAAATATGTGTAGATCGTGGAGTTTTATGAACATTTGAAAATGTTAAAAATTGGCGGGTTAGATAATACATTGAAAGATGGACTATTTTCTAGGCTTGAAATTTATTTTTTTTCATGTCTATACATCTTGAGGTTGAGATGATCCAATTTAGGGTTTTTTAACATCGAAATAATCTCTTCTAGTGAATTTTTGAGTTGCACCTTAATTTGATTGTTTAGGGCCTCACTCTTTATATAAACATTTTCTATAATTGAGGTAAAGAGGAATTATTAGGGTATGGTTTGCACGAGGTTTTAACCAACAAGCAAAGTAAAGAGTACCTCCAAACTTTGCTATAATATACAATTTCTAGTGTCGATAATTTCTAGGATGGTGCGAGAATCTATTTTCACCTCTCATTATAAAATTTTAACTTCAAAAATTATTGAAATCAAGCAAATCTGTAAAATACATCAAAATATTGAAAATAAACAATCCATACAATGTGTTTAAAGAAGTACTATTTTTAGGACTTGAAATCTTTTTTTTTATCCGTAGTCATAGTTTTACAAGATCTATTATTTTTGAAATTAAAAATCTTTTTTTTTCTCCATATTCATACATCTCAAGCGAGACAATTAATTAGGTTTTTTTTTTGACATCAAAACAACATTTTTTGAGAGATTTTTTTATGTGTACGTTAATTTTACATTTCAAAGTTTCCACCGTATATAAACATTTTCCAAATTATTATTGTACAGTGTATCTTTGAGGAAGATATGCTCCTAGGTTTTCTTATTTGCTGATACTATATATGGGTCCTTGTTGATGCTACCTGACTAGGTCTAAGTTAGATTTGGACCCATCCAAGAAGTTAATGGGACCTAGTCCTAACCCACCCCTATAGACCCATCTGATAGGGTTGGGAATAGGTCTATAAATAGAAAATATAAAAATTTATTTATATTTTTTTATATATTGTTAAGATTGTTTCACATACTTGTATAAAATGGGCGGTGATGAGTTGGGTTAACCTCGAACTAGACTCTATCCAACCAGCAAGGTCCAAGTTGGGCCCAGATCTGAACGTGACCTTGATAGGGTCAAGTGGATCCAGATTTGATCTGTCACAACCATTGTCTGCGTCCATGCCCATGTCCCATCTGGTCGGCTTGTTGGGTCCACAGATTGACCCACCCCATTTCCCACCCACACCCACACCCACACCCACACCAACACCCACACCCACCTTCAACTGCAAAATAAAAAGACATAGCATGGAGAGGTACGTGCCGGGCCTAGCAATGGATGGCCCTTGGCTGTAGCTATTGGACCGGGCAGGGCGAGGATTGGGCTCAAGATTATCGAAAATTTTGGATGGGATTTCAATTTGCGTTATCAGAAACAAACACCAAATACACTCGGAATATCACATTACTTGTAACAGAAATAATAGTATAATAGCCAGTAACTTGTTACGTTTGATTAATGCAACTCCAAAATGTTATTTATTCAATGAAATGATTAATTGTGTGGTCAATGAGGGTTGCTATCTAGCTATTCCATTGGAGAGCATTTTTAGATCTCACACCTACAATATGATTTTCAACCAAGTTCTGTGGCTGAAATCCAAAATCTCACACTTAAATGTTTTTGAAGCGGTACCATCTTTGCTATATGGGATAGAATGTTGGACTGACAAAAAACAAACGGGCAAGCTTTCTATGTTTCCCCTACCGTATAAAATTTATACACTTCCACTTATCCAACCGTCCATTTTGAATAGAGGGCTAAGATTGAGCCAATCACAATGTCACGTCTCTTTTGATGCCAAAGTTTGGACGTCCAATCCTCTATTAAACTCGCACTACTGAAAAATATTTAAAAAATATTTTCAATAAAATAAAATGACCAAAATACATTTGAAAGTATCAAGAGGTATTTTGGTTATTATATTTTATCAAAAATTTATTTTTAATATTTTTTATAGATGCCCCAATGAGAAAATGGCATGTACCAAGTTTCATATTCATAAAATTTGTATATAAAAAAAACTAAAAATAAAGTACTTTGAGAAGTCAGATCTAAGATCAAACGGTGAGTGGCTCTCTTGATCAAAAATTGGATGGCTGGATGATAAGGGAAGCATAGATCTTCTATAGTCTAGGGGAAGTATATAAACCTTTCCCAAAACAATATACCTATAGAATAAGTATAGTAGAGATGAGAATGTTGAGATGGATGAGTGGCAAGGCAAGAAATGACAGATTTAAAATAATACTATTTGGGAAATTTTAGATGTGACGCTAAAAGAAGATAAGATGAGAGAGAGTATACTTAAGTGGGCTCGCCATGTATGGTACAGACCTAATGCAACACTTGTTAGTAAGTGCGAGTTAGTTTATGTAGAAGGCTAAAAAAAGGCAAGGGATATGCCTAAAATATATGAGGATTTATGACCTTATTGAGAATATGACCCTTGATAGAGCAGAATGACATACCAAAATTGTTGACGGCCCCAATTAATTGGGAAAATACTACAATAATGATGATGATGACTGGGTCTTAAGGTCAATTTGGGAAAGACTACGGTGGTGTTGCTTGTGGGGTAGAGGAAGTGGGTAAGCCTGCAGGTCCGTCCTAGGTTTATCATGAGACGCCCAAAATATCATCCAAAAATGTTTTGTAGAAAAAAATGAAAAATAAAATAGTGTTTGGCATGATATTGTGGCATGAAGAATGTTGCAATCAATTGTGAATCATACAGCTAAGTAGTGGGTCAAATATAACTTATATGTTGTTGGGTCAAACAGATTATATCAGACATTTATGCAATGAGATTTTTATTCCTAGTGAAATGGTTCTTGTGAGAATTTTTTTTTTCTAATTGAAACAAGTCTTAGAGGATCGGGATCACAATTTTCTTTGTTTCTTAGGCTTATTTAATTCTCTATTAAAATTTCTTTATTCTCTATATTTTTTTTTTATTTTGTTTCCAAATTTTTTTATTCAAGATCTTAGCAAAAATAGTCGCCCTAAATGGTTGAAGGAAAAATTTCTTATTTTCTATTTCATGTCTCTCTATGATATTTTTTGCTTTCTATTTTGGGACTTTTTCGAATGTTATAATCCAATATTTGTCTATTTTTAACCAACTTTTTCAATGAGCTTACCTAATTATTATTTTTTTAATATTTCTAACATGTTTTTAAAAAAGGCTAACCGTTCAAATTGTTGATTGAACCAGTTTTGAATGGACCAACACCTTCGTTGATTCGAAAGTTGATCCAATTCTAGTAACACTCGTAACAACACCACAGACTCCCTAATGTTAATGACTTAATGTTGCTCTGTTTGATTATTGTATGTCTCATAACTTAATGTTATAGTTAATGACTTAATGTCATTGTCATGGAAAAGTATTTAACAAGATTTTTTACCTTTCGTACAATGTGGTTATAATTAAGTTTGATTATTAGATATAAAATTGGGTGGTGCATTCATTTCATTTATTAGGTTAAAAGTTCAAAATAATTTTTTTAAAACTCTGAGACACACTTAAACCATCAAATTTTACATCATATGATTAAATAATTATAACCTCCTTATGTTATTGTAAATAGTTATGCAATCCCATTTATTATTGCTACCTGTAAATGGTGTAATGCTAAATCTCTTCCCCAAAACTTGTGCAACAAAAATGTTACAAGCTTAATAAGGGATTAGCATTAGGGCTTCCCGCCCTTAACTATATGTACACGTGTTTCAAGCACACGTGCCAAAGATTTGCAATTCATTTTGGCCCTCTCTTTGTAACTCATCAGAGTTGATGAGTAACGCATCCCTCTGCTCTACACTTCAAGGCCAGCAATTGCAGAGGTGCCCTAACTCTAGGTAAGGTCTTTCCTTTTTATCCTCTGAAAATTCTTCCATTTTTGTTGCTTTTTAATACTTTGATAATTACTTGTTTTCTTGGATTGCATCTCCAGAATGTCCTAAGAGCTATGAGTTTCCTTTTTTTTTTTTTTTTTTTTTTCTGCAATGTAGAATGCCCTCGTTTTCTTTATTTTTGATCCAGAAATGCGGAAATTAGGTTTCGTTTTGTTAGGGTTTTAGAGTGATTCTTCCCCGTCAATGTATTGATATTCACCGTTCATCGAACTTCCACTCCATTTCCTTTTGCTCATTATTATTGTCTTTCGTTTTGATTAAAGGGAAGAGATAGTTTAAATGCTGTGTTTTATTTCCGTTTGATTGTATAGATTTTTATTTTGTGGCTCTTTGTTGTTAGAATATTATCGGAACATTTTCTGTGACTTCGCTTGGTATATTTGTTTTCTAATGGACTGAGAGGGCTTGTTTTGTTTAGGGGGTAGTAATTACTTGTTGCTTTTACGAGTTATTGTTGAACTAAATTTGTTACCTTGAACAGTAATAGTATTGAGTTTCAGATACTGTACTAGCATTGAATTTTTCAAATTTGGCAAAATAAATTTTGTTCTATGGAAATGATTGGAGACGATGATCTTATGAAGCCAATAGTTTGAAACTCGGCTCAGGCCTGAGACTCTGTCCCGGTCCCAGCCAAGTGACTTGGCCGAGTCCACTACAAGACAAAAAAAATACTAAAAATTTAAAAAATGGTTAAAAATAATTAAAAATAGAAAAATTAAAATTAGTATTAAAATGCTAAAACTTTTAAATTTGTTAAAAATAATTAAAAATAGAGAAATTGAAGTAAGTAATAGGACTTACTACATGTGTATAAAAGTCCAAAAAAGTATGCAAAAGATGTATCATTGAAAAATTTGATATATACCTTGAAATATTTCAGAAAAATAAAAAAAATGAGAGCACGTGCTCCGAAAAGTTTCCAAATCTTCATAAAAACCATAAAATTATATAACAACGTATTTCTAAATCATATATTGAAGATTCTTTAACGAAATTTTTAATGTTTTATTAATCTTTAACAAGGGCGAGTTGGCCCCTGGAACTCGTTTCAGCTCTAGGCCGAGTCACGTGACCAAGTCCTTGAACACTGTATGACACCAAATCTGGGGGAGTCATTTACTGTGGACTGTGGAGAATATTTCAATATATCAGCGGAAGTAAATAACCATCAAAAAAGGAAAAGTGAAAGTAAATAAAAACAGGTACTCTGATTTGAGAAAAAAATGAAAATCTAAAAGCGTTGAGTTATTGGTGTAGTTTCTCTGGATGTAATCGAGGGAGCCATTTCTTTTATGAAATAATAACTTCATAACACTTTTACATTTAAGTACTTCCATTTTTTTAGATAGTAGGGACTTCTCTACATTAACATCTTGCTTTTCTGGTTTATTAGTACAATAGTCCTTATTCTTTGCTAAACTGCATCTACTCTGATACATTTATTAGCTATAAGAAATTAAGGCAAGAAGTACCATGAGGGTGTGCTAGATGCGAAGGAACTGGCTTATTAATTCTCCCTTGCTATGGTCACATGATACTCGATGTGTTACAATAATGGAGCATTTGGTGCTTGATGCATTGCATTTACCCTTTTATTTATATTTGGCGCTAGATTGTTATGAAATGGATAAAGTCATAAAGTACTATTGGACTGATCCCTCTCCCATTTTTTGTTCGAAATGAGAATATGGAACCAGTCATTTACTTGTCATTTTAGGATTGCCATTTAGTAAGATTCCTAGGGATTTATGTTCTGTGCAGATGCTACTTTGGCAGCCTCATGAAGTTGATATTTTCTCAAATAGCAGAATGGGCTGTCATCCCCTCCTCTGCCAATCATCAGATGCAGAGTGCTCATTTTAAGATGGGCTGTTGCATGCGAAGGAAGGTTTTTTTTGGGAGAGCACATAGGTATCTCTTCTCTGAATGGCTGCATATACGATTCATTATTTCTTTTAGAATTTCCATTTGCTGAAAGTGCTAACTAGTCTTTGAAATATATTATTTGTTGGCTTGTTTGGCATGGTTGTAGGAGATATTTTTCCCGAAAGAATTGTAGCTTTATGAGCATTCTGTCTCTCAAAGCTAGTAGTTTGTTTATTACTTCAAATGCTACAAGTTCACCGACTAGAAGGAAATTGGGTATTCACCCAACAAAAAATATAACAGTGAGATGTCATTGTTTGGGAACATTAGAGAATCCTGAGCTAGTTTTGGAATGGGTGCCTGTTGTGGATCAAGTGCTTTTGATGGCCACTGCAGCCTTGGCATTTGTGGCAGGAATAATACCTTCACGTAAAGCACATTCTTCTGGCAAAAGGGTTATTTCATACCAAGATGGACTTGATTCAGATGCTGCCTCTTCCGGTAGGTAAGGGTATGCTCTCTATAAAAACTCTGCATGCTTAGCCTATGAAATAGTTAATTTTTTATTTAATTTTAGTGTTCGATAACTATAATCCCTTGGACAGTGGAGAAACCATTGTCCATTTGGTCATCATCGTCAATGGGAATGAAGGACATTGATGAAGAGAGAATTGGGGACCCACCATTGATGCCATGCCACGTCTTTTCTGGTGGGTTCCAGACTCTACATCATGCTCCATTTTTTCATTGGTTGGTAATGACCCAATGGACTATGACTTTTTCCACAGTCTATTGGATTATACTATAACAAGATGTATTCAACGAGCACAGTCCAGTATCCTACAGTATTTTCCATCCCCCCCAGCCGTCAGATAGCAACAAGAGAGAACTGGGGTGTATTTTTCCTCCACTCAATTCCATAAAAAATTGACAGACTTGATCAGAGGAGTGACACCAAGTTGTTCACAGTTGAAATTGGATAGTTGGGGTGATGTGAACTTAATGGAGGAAGTTTCACTGGGGCTCCTGTTATACAAACCATGGTAGAATTTCTCTTGGATATGCATAGTTAACTTTGCTCAAAAAAAATTTTTCTTGGATATGTTTGTTTAAACTTATTGTAGCTAGTATTGTTTACCTCAACTCATTTCGTTCAAATTTATTTGTTAACAGTGCTTTAAAGAGAGGAAATCAGATAAATGTGGGATATGCCTGGGATGAGGTTCAAAGGAAACTTGTTGATGCTATGGATGCAGTTGAACATGATGGTAATTTGGATAACAGAGTTGTAGGATGTGAAAATAACAGCACAAGGCGTCCTTTAAGTTTGCATGCTATTGCTTTGGGTCCCAGGTTACAATTGCTCTGGGCTACATTGCAGCATCTCCGGAAAGAGGCAGGCTCTGTCTCCAATACTTGTTAGTGTCATGAATCTTAAACATTTGTTAATTGAGTTCATTTACTTTTGCATTGCCAAAATGAAAACGTACTTTGAGTGAAAAATCTTGTGTAGGGTCAATATACTTGATAATAGTGTTTTGAGTTTTGAAGACAGTTGCTTTATCTATGAAGGAAACTTATATATGCATTTGGGTATTGTCACTCTAATATAGTTTTCCAGCATATCTGACAGTATGAACATGTATTTTCTATTAATATTTAAAGCTTACAAGACACATGATGACATCATCACAAATAAGATTATATAGGAGGCTGTTAAGGATTGCCTCGCTGAGGCCCCCTTTAGAGGTGCACATGACAAAAGGAACCATAATATGGTGGGCACAACACCAGACAATATTATATTGTTGGCATAAGCCTCTTTTTAAAGCATCCCATCTTGTTACAAGTGGTAGCAATGAGGAAAGCCATGAAGGGAAACGTGAAATCTTGATATTGGTGATGAGGGGAGCCTTGAAGGTAATTGTAGGTATGGTTCCATGCAAAACTAGTTTGTTTCTTGCATACTGCACTTTGCAGCTTGATATTTATAATTTGCATGTTGAAATCTGATACCTTCAGATGTAAGCTAAGTTCAAAGTTTGTATGTCCGTACTCAGCTTGGTACCAGCTTGAGCCTTGGGGCAACTCAACTCATGGCTTGGGAAGTCTTTAAAAATGCATATAACACCATTTTTAAAAATTGCGGAAATGAATAATATGAAAAGAAAGAAAAAAAAAACCCTAATATGGTGCTATGGTCATTGGGGACATAGGAAATATTTAGAACCTCACCAAGTCTTTGTGTAACTCAACACAGGTGGCTGGCAGGACTTGCAACTAGTCCAAGCCAAATGGACTTAGGTGGCTCGTGAGTTTCCCGCTCTATGTAACATGGACATGGGTATCAATGGATTTTGGCACATGTCTAACATTGAATGACATCACACTTTTGTAGGATATTTTAGGACCTTCAACATACATTATTAAAGCAATTAATTTCACTTAAAATTCCAACTCTCCCCTTCTCTAAATGATATATGAATGTATTGTGTCTCAGCTTTAAAAGAGAGAGAAAAAAAAAGGGATAATCTTGCGTTGGTGTTTCCGAGACTCATAGTAGTGTGGGATGCTGACACATGTATCCTTGTCTTTGTAACATAGGTTTTGACCATGCTCTAGTGTGGTGATAAGGAATCTTGAATCCACTTGGTTCGTTGTAAGAGATTCATAAGCTTGCAGTGAAGGGGATTTTGGGCATCGTGAAGTGAAGGGAAGTGGCCCTATGGGTTTGGAAAGGACTTAAGGAGAAGATCAATTGGAATCCTAAAATTGGATTTCTTATGTTCTGAACAGATAATATTTTGTTGGATTTTATTGTCTGCTTCTACATCAATAACTGAGATCAGTTAATGAGAGCTCATTTTTGAGTCCGAAAAACTCTGCAAGTCAACTTAATCCGTTGAGTGGGATGTTTGATAGATGTGTGTTTTTCCTTTTATATAATCCTTTTGTTGTCAATTCGACCAGGAAATGTTCTCTTCAAGGCTATTAACACTGTGGTAGTTTGGTTGACAAACTGGGTTTGTTTCCTATAATTGGCTATATTTTCCAAAAAAAATGATAATAATTTTTTAAAAACTCCCTTAGTTCTCTAGTTTTTCTGAATTTACTGTTTGACTTGGTGAATTGACTCATTTTTGGCAGTGGTCAAGTGAGTTCAAGCTTTTAAACACTGATCTAGATGTTTGAGTTTTGCCATTGTTTGGAGGACTAAAGGATGAAAGTGACCATAAAGCAAATCATTCAAGGATGTCATGTGTTTGGTGTGTAACTAACTTCGCTTTCAGGATTGTACTGTCTTAGATGTTCTTGATGTTCATGTGGAGTTTCTGTCCCTTTGGTAAGTTATCCAAGACATGCACATGTTTGTTCTTACTGCTTTTCTGACAAATCAATCTCATAATGCATTTATGTACCACATCCATACAATTGAATCAAATAAGAATGTGATGTCTGGACAAATAGGTGGGACTTGTAGGTTGTACATGTCATGGTAGGAATTTATCTGTGTTAGCTTAACCTTTATTTAGCAGCCATCTTATCATCTCCCGAGTTGAAAATGATATCTTTTCTTGGTATGAGTTTCATTTGAATTGCATCATTGAATTGATATGATCAGTTGAAGATAAACGATGTGCATGTGATCCATAATTGTATGAATCTATGTGGAGATTTTTAAGTTTTGTGATGCTTAGGGTGTGTGTACTTGGCTGGATAAGGCTTATTATTCATGCCTGGCAGGTTCAAAATATCCCAGCGAGTAATGAATTTGTGAATAGGGATGATTGGCTTATGCTCTTATCAAGAATTGTAAGGGTCTGTATACAGCCAATATGCATCGAATGGCTGCAAACAGGGCTTTCTCTGGAAAGAGAGAGTGAAAACAAGGTGCCTTGATACGATATTACCTTGTTTTTTGTTGTTGTTGTTTGCTTTTCGTGATATCATGTTTCAAATTTGAATTGAGTGGTTTTTCGTCCCATGTAGGGTACTGTTACTCAAATGTTTAAAAAGCTGGGTGGAGATGATGCTGTCTTAAGGAATATTAGAAAATGTGGGAAGGAGGACTTGTATGCTGATTTAATATTTTTTCTGAGATTTGGATCTGGCAGGTAACTCAGGATCATTACTTATAATTGCATCTATATTACATCTTTTGATAATTATCTTCGTAACTTTATTGACATGTTTTTCTTTTCATATTCAATTATGTGTTATTCCCCTTTATTTTTTATGTTTGTCTTATCTTTGCATCTGCGTGTCTATATAGTAAGGATACTGCTTGTAGTATACATTGTAAATTGATTAAAATCAAAGATAACATGTGATGGTGAGCTATCAATTATTACTTCTTTTTAGATCTTAACGTCTCAAAGTTGTTCCATGATTAATGGCCAGATCCTGAACTTGGCAGGACCTCCACTCCCATGGTGAACTTTTGCTGCTGCCAGTAACCATTGACGAATGACTCCTGACATTTTGTCAATCCTTTTTGTTGAAGATAATGGTTGAACCTGGAAGAATCTTGCAGTAAATACTTTTCCACTAAAAGCTAGCTGTCCAGGTTGACACCTTTGAAAGTTTTCTTACGACCTCTCCAGGTTGACAGCTTTTGGTCATTTGGATAGCAATACTGGCTGTGAAGATGATAACAATATATTTTTGGGAAATTTAAGCTAATATCCCGCAAATATCTGTTATTTGAAAGCCCCCAACCCCTCCTTGAGGTTTTGGTCAACTTCGGACCTTGAAGGTCCAAATTTCGAAGTTGTGAACTTCAGACCTTCAAGATCCCAAGTTGTCATAAACCACTACTTCGGATCTCATCTGAGAGGTTTTTCTTATTAGGGTGCAGTTTGAATACGGATGCATTCGTAGGTGTAGAGGTAACGTGCACCTTCAAATTTTATCATGGTATATAATTTTGATGTAAAATGTTATTTGGATTATCTCAAAATCTATTTTTATATCTAATTATAAAATTTTAAATTTAAAAAATGGTTAAAATCAAGTAGAACTATAAACATATGAAAATCTTGAAAATGGACGGTGTAGATAATATGTTGTAAAATGCACTACTTCTGAGACTTAAAATCTTTTTATTTTTCATAGTCATACATCTCGATGTCGAGATGATCAATCAAAAGGTTTTTCAACATTAAAACTACCTTTTCCGATGGATTTTTGAGGGGCATCCGTAGTTCTACATTATAAGGTAGCATCCTTATAGAAACTTTTCCCTTCTTATTAACATAAGTTGGAGCTTGAAGATCTGAAGTTCAAGGTGCGAAGTTGTCCGGAAACTCAAAACTCAACCTCAGACCTTCAAGGAGGTCTGAAGTAGAAACAATGTGGGAAAAATAGGAAAAAAGAAGGGGTATGAATGTATAAATGAACTTTTGAGTTCGGTTTTTTAAATATCTATAATTCCCAGGAAATTAGTGTAAATTTCTCTATATGTTTTTTTCAGGGACATCTTCATTGGTGTTGAAGTTTAACTTATTTTTGTTGTTAACAAAAAGTAGTCAAGGTTCTTATTGTCATTTTCAGCTTTCTTGACCAAAAACATGAATTTGGCTAGGTCAGAGGTTCACAGCTGGGAATTTTATGCTTGTCATATGTGTGAGGGGGCTCTGAGTCATCTTGTCGCTCTTCTGCAAGGATGGTTTGGACTACATTATGGGCCAATGCAAAGGAAGGTAGGAAGATAATTATATATAGGTGTAAGGGCCAATGGAATATATGAAAGTTGATTATGAGGGGAATCTTTATTTGTGCTGGGGTAATGCAATATATGAAAGTTAAATATGAAGGGGATATCTATTTGTAATTTCTGTCCTTCGGATGGAATAGATGGAGTGGAACATCAAAAGTTTTCAGGGTATAGGGAGGAGGGTCATAAGAATGATATCTCGTTGAGTGCTGATTCACTTAGCGCTCTGTTTTGGTTGTTCAGGGGATTTTGAAGTTGAATTCAAAACTGGACATGTTCCACACCACCAGGTTGATTACACGCCATAAGTTGAGGCACTAAGTACTATTGCATGTTTCTCCTAATAAGTACTGTACAGCAACTGGCTTTCACTTTTCAGAAACAAAAAGTTCTGCCTCTTTCGATACTCAATAAAATTGGGAACACTGTTTCCTCACTGTGACTTTTAGAAGCTTATCGATTTTCCCTCGTATGGTACATGGTTGTGCATCACTTTCTTTCTAGGTGTATTCATGGCTTATCATATTTATTGCTGATTCTAACATTATATGCTCTTTCTATAAATACGTTTTAGGCATGGGTTGTGTGGTTCGTGTATGTCTTCTAGTCCTTTGTTGTTATGTTCTTTGAATTAGTGGATTATTTTCCAAATTTGAGGTTGATTTGCTTTGTGTGAGTTTAATTTTATTGGTTTCAATTCGTTAAATATGTCAGGAATGGGGGCTATTGTGGCGGCAAAGTTCTATCTGAGCATGTGATTGACATCTTGGAGGACCTCTTGATTACTCTGGCAGATGGAATCACATGCATATATCTAGAGCTTATCTCTGTTGACAGTGCTTTGTCTAGTGAATTGAACCGCTTAGGGTTGGTTTTGTGTTCTTTATCAACAAGAGCAATTCAAAGATTACGAAATGAGGTAGGTAAAATGATGCCTATTTTCTGCACAATACTAACTTTAACCTGTTCATTTGGCAAGCTGGTTTTTTTCGCCGCCTATTTTCTGAACAATACTAACCTTTAACTTTTCATTTGGCAAGCTGGTTTTTTTTGCCATGCACGACTAATCAAACAGATAGGTATCCTTTGTAACCATGAACATTTTTTATGACAGGTGGCATTGAGCAATTGGCTGCATCAGAATGTGGATTCTGTTGTATCAATGTATGAAGATCGCTTTGACTTGTGCTCACTGCAAACCCAGATTATCAAGAAGCCGATTGAGAGCTCGTCAGAGAAAGTCAGTTGGTGGAGAAAGCTTACGTTGGGCAAGCCCATGGAAACAACTTCCTCTTTGCAATGTATTGTGATCAGGGAAGTGTCTTTGCCCATGAAGCGGACAACCGAGTTGAGATCGTTGACAGGGTGGTGAGTTTTGTTATATTCTCTCTCTCTCTCTCTCTCTAACACACACACCAAATTTTATACAGTTTCTTACTGTTCTTCCTACCAAAATGTTTACATGGTACGTTTTGTGGATACAGGAGGTACTATTTCAGCCTATTTCTGGAGTTCTATGACATTGCAATGCCATTGCTTAGAGCACTAGCAGCTAAAGTGAGCAGTGCTGTGTCTTTCTTTCTGGTTTGCTTGATTGGGAGGTCTCTGGGACTCATTTACACCGGTATAAGGCAGGCTCTAGGATGGAAATAAAAAATTAGACAAGGCCTTTTAAGTCTTAACTAATTGTTTATGATTTGATTCTCCCATTCTTTGGGGGCAATGGCTTTCTAATTCTCTGTATGCTGTGCAAGGTCCAAATATTGGCCTGAAAAATTGGCGGAAGTCTTGCAATAAAAAAAACTAGCAGATAGGAACTTGTGATTTAGATAAAGGAGACACGGTTTTACGAGTCCTAGGGCTCGTATGATATGTAGATGTGTGTCCCCTTGATCTATAGATTTTAGACCTAATTTTTTAGGGATATATAATAGGAGAGTATGGATGTGTAAAGAGTAAATGAATTTGAAAAACTAAAACTGATAATTTTTGGAGGAAAGTTTCAAACCTTTGATTTTACCCTCTTTAGGAGAGACCACAACGCTACGTCTTACGTGTCCCCGGATGCATAAGTCACTGTACCTTCGATAATGGAATTACATTTCGGGGAGTAGACATGTAAATTTTCTCGATCTCCAAATAAAAAAAATTTCATATTTAGGTATCCTATGTTACCCTTATGTTCCCACAAGAATGGGCTAGACTTGCGCGATTGTGTGCGCCTTGCGTGAGCGGTTATATGTTTTGGCACATACCTGGGAATAGGGGTGGGAAATGGGTTCAGGTTGACTTGATTGGACCCGGAGGGTCAGGTCTAGGTCTATGCCTAAGTCCAAGTTTGACTATATGGGGCTCCTGTTGGCCTCATATTTATGTGTAAGGAACATAAAATATAAATACTATATAACTATGTTTTAGACATTTGTATGCACGCTCTTACTCTCGCTTCATCATGATCAATCCCAATAAAATAAAATACAACTTTTATCCAAGTTATGGTCAAAATTATTGCTCCGCCCATGAATATTAACCATCCATAATTTTAAGATCTAGGTCTTCAAAAATTCAAGAAAAACTTTTACTTTTTGGAATTATTAATCTAATGACAATAATATTATTTAAAAATTTTGAAAAAAAAAATCATTTTAAGGTCTATATCTAAGCATCTCTCTAAAATGAACAGTCTATAATAATTGGGTTAAAAAAATACTTTTGATGATGTTTTTTCAAATTTTACTTTTTATGATTGTTCTTTAAAATGAAAAGAGCGTATATTTAAAAATTGGTGCCAAACAAAAGGCTCTAACATGGTCTTTAAAGATGGTTTCACTATATTATTATACAAATGAAATCATTCCCCATACATAATTATTATTATTATTAATCATTCCCCCATACATAAATTTTATTATTATTTTAATATCTAAACCCGTACCTAACCTTGCTACGAGGTGGGTTTCAGGTCCAAATCTGGCCTACTCAGTTGAGTCTGGGTCTAGGTTGACCCACCCATTCCCAACACTATCCGTCTTGTAGTTGGCCTAATATCGACACCTGGTGAAAAGTCTGATATAAATCTTGTATATCAACTTCTCACGGGTCCAAATCTTATCAAAGCAATCTTATACGCGCTCTAAATCTAATCGGGAAAAATAATGTTTCAGAGACATTGGTGCAGAAGAGTGCAAGGTTTCATGGAAGCATTTCATGAGCCAAAGTCCTATTCCTGGTGTAGCTGTGTAAGGTTAAGAGTGAAATGTTAATTTCGCTTTTAAGAAAAGAAACATCATCCGTAAATATAATGAATTTTTTAAGGAAAAAAAAACAATTTTAGTGCACAAAATATATTAGAAAATTGTCAAGCTTTGTTTATCTAGTCGAAACCGATCATTCTAAAAGACAAAAATTGATCGAACATTATTTTTTACTAGCTTTCGACCTAATGGAGTACTTGCTATCAACCAATGGTCCAGCCAATCCGTCTCGTCTTCATACTATGCTTAGTAAGAGAAGAAATTTAAAAGCTTACACGTTTTGTGCTAATTTCAAAGATATTAAATAGCAATGCTCTCTCTCTCTCTCACTTTCCTCGTACACATAAATGCACCCAAAGATAGATTTATTGAAAATGAATTAATAATATATTTCTCAAGGAAAGTAAAGGCTATCCCATGAGATCCATTTTCTGTTATTTTAAACATGGAAAAGAAATTCCCACTCTCTTCTCTCTCTCAGCCATTCAATCTTCAAAAGCCTCGTATTCTTGTTGGAGAAAAGATCTTAAGAGTTGCAGCAGCATTGTGTAACTGGGTAATGTTCTATGCATTCCCCTCCCTTTGGGTAGCCATAGCTATAGCAGGCCGCCCAGCAGTCCGGCTGGTAACTAGTGCAATCTCCGCCCAAGCATATCGGCTGGCCCCCCGGATCCTGACCCTTCACACTTTGAGCTGAAAGCAATCAACCCACCAACAAAAAATTAAAAATAAAAAAAGGAAAAAGAAAAAAAAAAAAGAAAGAGAAAGAAAAGGTCATAAAAAAAGTGAAGAATAGAAGAATAGTAGGTGACTTTCACATATCAATTGTCATTCCAATTTTTCGACGAGGGATCTTGCAATATAATTCATAAGCAATGAAATTTCTATAAATAAGTAAAAGAGAAAAATATTTCATGTGAGAGCATGTGCTATGCTCCCGATGGAGCGTACTGTTCGATTCTCCCTAATGAGATCATCCATCGTCTGAACAAGCATTGGACACGGGAGATTTGACTGCGATAGTCCTCGCAAACATAATCATTATCATGGTCCTATGCTACATAGTGAGCATAGCACATTTTCTCTTTCCATGTAAGAAAAAAAAAGGAAGAAAATTGTAAAGTAAGATACCTGCAAAAACAATGAAAAGAGCCGTGACGAGAGACACAAGTGCTTTTGCAGCCATTGATTCAACTCTGCAATGGTTGTGTTTGATTTTTCTTTGAGAATGATTTTTTTGAGTTAGGAGGAGGACTATTTATAGAGCTGGCTGGTCTCATGTCATTTTAGATATTTTTGATTGCCTTCCTATTCCTTGAATTTACCAATGCATGTAACCATGTACTTAGCTGGCTATTCTAAGTCATTAAGCTAAGGTAATAAGGCATTTAGGGAAAGTTTCCTAAAGAATGATTGGATTTAGTGTCCACTAATGTAAAAAATAGCTAGCTTGGGGTGTACAATTAATTGTGTTTAAGGAAAATATCCATTGGACACTATGGAGTAACAGCTCAATCATCCGATTTTGCATCCGACTGCTTAGTGTTTGCGATCTTTCTGCATCAAAAAGCAGTAATTGTGATGCTCTCTCTCTCTACAATCAAAATTTTCATGCACCTAGCCACCATGATAGAGATGCAATCTCTCTGTGTGCGCAATCAGGATATTCCTGCACCTCGCCCCCATGGCCACGATAGCGAGATTAAAAATAACCTACAATCTCTGCCTCTGCGATCAAAATGTTCATCCACCTCGCCAGCATGACGATGGAGAAAGATTAAAAATAACCTGCAAATAATGGAAAAAGTTTATGCAAGGTTGTAATCATATTTGTAAAAATAAAGTTGCATTAATTTTCACCGTTCATTTTATTTAGACACAATCTTAAAATATACGTCATATATTAATACTTTTTTTAAAAGATATGTCAAATCTATAGTGTCCAAAAATTGCAATCTTATTTCTACAAATAAGGTTCTACAGTTATAGAAACCTCCCCCATTACTAATTTGCTTCCTCCTTCAAAGGTTTAGGGGGGCAGCACCTCTGGATTGGTCATGATTCCGAGAAGCAATAAAGTCCCTCTCTCATAATCAAAAATTTGAGGTGGACGCCTCCCGAAAGTTTAAAAAGAGGTTATCAAATCTTGGGATTAATTGGTCCGATTTGCAAAGCTAAGTCCTAAGCTCAATTCCTACTAGAGTAGGGCCCTCTTCCCACTTACTCACCAATTAAAAACACCTCTCATGGTTCCTATGATGGCCCAAGACCCAATGACGAGTTGTTTTACAGACCGTCATGGTACCAATAGTTATTGCTGACCATTTTTTTCTAGACCACCACGGTACTCTAGTACTGTGATGGTCTTTGAAATGATTTATAAAATTGGTCAAAAGAACCTTGAATCATCGTACCTTGATGGTCATTTTAGGAGATTGAACCATCAGGTGCCATTAGTAGCATGGCGGTCTATTAATTTGAGACGAGTAAGGCATTGGAACATCATGATTCTAATAGAGTCATGAAGAGCATTTTTGGTAAAAATAATTACATAATGTTAAAAAATGAGTATGGATGTAGATTTTTAAAAAATTAGGCTTTTTTTAAAAAAAAATTTATAAAAAAACAGGGATATTTCTGATCATTGCCTTATTCTAAACCAGAAAAACAATTTCTCCCTCTCACTCTCTCAGCATTCAATACTCAAAGGGATCATGTCTTGTTGGAAAGAAAGATATTAAGAATTGTAGCAACAGTGAGTAACAAGGTAATGTTCTATGCACTCAGCTCCTGTGTAGCCTTGGGCATAGCAGGCCCCTCAGTAGTCTGCCTGATAGCTGCTGTAATCCCTAGCCAACCATATCTGCTGACCCGGTGGATCCTGACCCTTTGCACTTCGAGCTGAATGCAATCAACCAAAAATTTAAAAGAAAAAAAGAAAAAAAAACCATTAGTTAAAGTACAAGAACACTATATGATCTAGCCCAGTGCACTTAGAGAAGAATAGAAGACAGGACCTTATGTCCTCTCAATAATCAACAATTTTCTCTCTCAACAAGGAAATTATATAGGAAGTTACCAGCAAAAACAATGAAAAGAGCCAAGCAAGAGACACAAGAGCTTTAGCAGTCACTTATTCACCTATTGAATTTGTGGTGTTTAGGTTTCTTGGAGAGTTGTTCTTTTGAGTGAGGAGGACTATGTGTATAGCTGGTTTCATGTTATTTTTAGGGGGTTAAGATTCTTGATTTCCTCCATATCCCCTAAATTTATCAAGGCATGTAACCATATACCATTTTAGCTGGATTCATTCTCATGAGGCAAGGCATTTGGGGAAAATGTAAAGTTTTTTTACAATGTAGAATTTACAAACACCTCTAGCAATCAGATGTGAAATTTATTAGACTCTAGAGAAATGCTACCACTCAATCATTAGATTTTACAAATGACGGCTTAATTCTTGTGACCGTTGTTACTAAAAATAACAACAATATCATTTTATAAAGGAAAAAGTTTACATAAGGTTGCAAACTTAAAATATAGAACTACGGATGCACCTCAAAAATCCATCGAAAAAGGTTATTTTAATGTTGAA